GAGAGAGAGAGAGAGAGAGAGAGAGAGAGAGAGAGAGAGAGAGAGAGAACTGTGTACAGAATACATGCTCTTCATGAAGTGCTGTCTGAAGTGTGAGCTTCTTACTTGTCCTCGATGAGGTGGGAGAAAGACGCCTCAGCTTGTGTCGGCCAAAAGACACCAGCTCCCTGGAGGGTGTCCTCCTCGCTCCGGCGGGACTCCTGCTCGAGCTGTGCATGCGGCCCCGCGGGGAGTACTTCATCTCTGACCCGCTTCCACTGTGGTCACAGGACAGACGGCAGAGGAGAACAGTGCAATGAGTAACACACCAGAAGCTGCTATTTACCAAATGACATTGAGAAAAATCTATTTAATGAAAGTATTCTGCAGGTCATGTCCAGGTTTCCAATACGTACCCAGTAGGAGACTTCCTGATGATTTTCATCCTGCTGCGGAGCTTGAACCCAGCGGGGGAGGAGGGCGGCATCAGGTAGGTACGTGGGAAACGTTGGCTTACGGATGGGGAAACTCCTTTCACTCCTTTGTTGCTTCTCTCTGACGTCCAGTGGAAGGCAGACCTACGACGGGCAACCGTGGCCCCTCCTATCGCTGCCCCAGAGGTACTCTGACCTCCAGCCTTCCAGCGGTACCGGCTAACCGGTGAGGAGCTGGTCGAGGAACCCGCGGCTCCCTTTTTCATCTTGTCTTCTGCTCGGAGTTTCTTGGGAACCTCTCCCTTCTCCAGAGCTCTTTGGGAAAGGGTCAGGGCTTTGGGCGATATGGACTTTCGAGGTATTTTAGCTTGGGCTCCAGCGGAGATGGAGACCCATCTGTACTTGGAAGTCTTGGGGGCTGCATTGAGTGGGCTTAGCTTCCGAGGGAACTTCTTGCCGGGCGTTCTCTTCCCTGTGAATAAAGGGGAGCTTCCACTGGCAACTCCAGCTTTGGAGACTGAAGTCAGGGCAACAGCCACAGCTTTGCCTGTGGGTGAGGAACTGGAGCTGGCTTGTTTCTGGCTCTTTACCCAAGTGAACTTCGATTTCTTCAAAAAAGAAGCATTGACTTGGCCCTGGCTGGCGGGAGATGCGGGGTCGATGGAATGTTTTGATACATTAGGCAGAGCAGCGAGAGGTGGGACGGTGTTAGCATTGGGAACTGCTGGAGTTGTCTTTGTAACAGTTGGTTTGCTCTCGGTGCTGGTCACGCATGTCTTGGTAGGTTTGATCCGCGCTTGAGGGATGCTCTGCAAACTGGTCGACACGTTGGCCTTAACCGAGGACGCCACTTCTGAAGAACTCTTTTCTGGCAGCACCACACGCCTGATTTCAGTCCTCTCCTGCAGACCTGGAGTCTGTCTGTGCATCGTTTCGCGTTGCTCACTAGTGCCCGTTGATCTTGAACATCCATTTCCGTCTTCATGCAGAGACACAGCTGCTCCGGTTTTTCTGAGAGTATCCGTGTTTCTTTTCTCAGCTGCGACTCCCCCTGTGATACTGTTCATAGGTCGCTCTTCCTTTTGTTGAGGGATCCCTGATGATAAGGTGGCAGTCACGATTCTTTGCCCCTCCTCTCCTCTGCTGTGGCTGGGCAGTGAGGTGCTGTGAGGTGCACGGTGGGAACCGGACTGATGTACAGTAGAGGAAGCTGAAGCCGAGGGATGTCCAACAGACGGCTGTGGGTTCTTGTTGCTCAGCGAGTATGTTTTCCTCCAACTTCCACGGCTCTGAGGAGCGTACAGTCCCCCTCTGGAGCTGTGAGGATGGACCACAGATGTGCTGTGGCCTCTGCCTCTGGCTGACGTTGGAGCTTCCGGATGACTCCACTCATCTCTTGCAAACGGGGTGTCGCCATGGACACTCTTGTGCGTATTGATGAGATCTGGTGATTTGAAAATAGGAGTTATTTAGTTGCACCATCGCACCAAGAGTGATAAACAAGAATAAGGGAATATAATCCATGTGAGAGTTAATTTAGCCAACACAACCTATTCCTCAGTTTCATGTAGACGGATGAGTTTAAAGATGAAAGGAATTCCGCACATGCTGCCAAAGTTTGGCATAAACAGCGACTTAGTTATTCACTTACAATGAAAATTAAATAGAATATATTACCTAACCAACACTACGTATCTCTAAATGCAGTACGTTAAGGGTGACGTTAGCTAGATAAAGGAGCCAACGCCTCTTCTTAGACATGTGCGAGTTTAAGCTGAAGGCAAAGCTAACAGTTGTTTTTTTTAAAATACGTTAACGTTACTTCAAAACGCACCACAGCAACACGACCACCATGAATTTAAAAGGCGCAACAAATCAAAAAACACCCGCTTCCTACAAAACAATCCAAAAGAGAGTGTATATGGAGATTTACTTTGCAGAAGTTCAATTTGCCTCTTCAGCGCTTCTCTCTCCTCCATGTTTACAACCGAAACGTGTCGTCATCGGACTGCGACGGAATAGGCCTTTGCGGATGATGTATATTTCACCGTCCAATCACAGAACGCGGTTCATCTGAAAGGGATCTTACACTCCTCAGTTTTGCCTTGCCGGAAAAATGTCGTATAATATGTTAAAGCAAATTGACAATTCATATTAGTTGCAGCAACAAGACAATATTAAGTAAACAATCATCAATAATTAGGTGCAAGATATTAGTAACAAAGACAAGAAATTATGAAATAAATAATCGTCAATGATTAGCAACAAAAAAGAGAGTATGTTGTAATCAAAATAATATTTTTTTTAATTGTAAAATTACGTATTTTTTGTTGAGCTCATGTTTATTGAGACAACTGATTTCCAAAGTTTGTCAATCAAAACACCCATAACAAAAAGTATATATGATTGGATTTTTTAGTTTTTTTAGCATTTACACTCAAGTCTCTTCAGTTTTACAGAGAGTTTTGCTCCGTCACTAGCCTATGCTGGAATTTAAAGTGTTTAATGTCCTTCATCAAGATAATCTACAGACCTTAGTTTCAGCTCCTCTTTGCCTCAAAACTGTATTAATTTCAGTCTGTGGATTGTCAATGGGGCGATTGTTTCTGAGAAGACAATTGCTGTTGTGTAATAGTGTACGTGCAACGAAGAAAATAATTCTCCTCCACTGTTGGGGTCCTGCAGAAATCACAGTGAAAGATATCTGAACCAAACCAAATCTATCTGTATGGATGGATACTAGAAAGCTGAAACTTTTGCTTACATTTGAAAGAGCTGTTCTGATAACCAGTCAAGGCAGTAAATTATTATGAAAATACCATTACAAACATAACACAATGATGCTGGTAGACAGGGGCGTCGTTAGGCCTATTTTAGGGGGCTGAAAAAAAAAGAAGAAAAAAAAAAATATATATATTTTTATTTTGGTGATGTCATTAAATTAAACTATTGTTTCTCACATGGGCAAGTTATTTATAACTCTAACATGCTACATATGTGCGTGCGTTCTGGTTTGTATGTTTTCTCCCCCTTCAAATTACAATCCAACAGCCTATCATCATACTTAACGATATAAAGTTGACACTGTCAGGTCCATTCTCCATCCATTGTGTGTGGTCCCTTTAAGAATTAGGATTTGGGAGCTAGTTTATCCGTCTTTCCTTTACAAGCAGGAAAATTATTTCTCTCTCTTTATTTGAGAAAAGTTCATATTTTTGTTGTCAAATTTCACTATGATCCTGAAATTCAGTCTCTTGTGTTATCATATACTGAATGCAAGCAAAACTACAGAGCAAAATCACACTCTTTATGATTGAACCAATCTATGAACTGTCTGAAACAATGGATATCCGCGGCCCCAAAAACAATTGCTGCGCGCTTTGCGCGCAAACATTCCATTCCCGTTGGGGCTAAGCCCCCCTTTCTTTGATTCCTAGAAACGCCCCTGCTGGTAGACAATGTTAAGTCAAGTCAATTTTAATTCCCAATACCACAAATACTCCCTGACCTTAGACCCTCGACTTTGATAAGGAAAACTTCCCCAAAAAACGTGAGGGGAAATGGAAGAAACATCAGTTGGAGCAACTGAGGATCGACCTCTCTCCCTGCAAGGACAGATCACAAACTGTGTAACCTAATGCTATATGTTAGCCTACAGAATATCCAAGATAGGGAAATTACAGTATGGTCGATCAAGATGACACAAGTATAGCAATGGACCTATTTTCAGCTATAATTAACTACAGAATGAAGTTTGCAGGTAGCAAACAAGATGATCGATTGTATAAACAGCACACCTCATAAAACCGGATGTGAACGCATCACCACGTCTGTAAGACCGTACTGAGGGGCTTAATAACACCACATACAATCGAGCCATCCTGCCGCTGGCTGTCAACTGATTTCAAAACAGCAACGTCACTTGGGAAATTTGTTCTTAACATTAACCTCTTTCGCAGAAGTACTTGAAAGTATTGCCAAGAAGTTGTTTCGGTGGTTTACAACAACAACAACATACTGTCATTTGTATCGGGACGAGATGCCGATGACGCCGCTGTGAAATGAAATGAAAGGGGAAGTGAAACTTAAGGCACCTGGTTTGGACACAAGCCGAGAAGCTCGGAGATAACGCAGAAACATCATTAAAAAGTTGTTTAACTCTTAAAGGTAAGGCTAACTTTGTCACAGATGTGTGGGAGGGAAAGGGAAACAGTCGGAGCGATTCTAGATAGTTGAGACGTTACATGTAGCGTCAGGTGAACGTTTGCTTTGATTCCCTCTGTTCACGACAGCTAGCTTAGTTCAGTCTTGTAGCTAGTTAGCGAGCTAGCATGAAGGTTTTTATCAAAATAGACAACATTCGTATTGTTATCGTAGTGACACCAGTGTAAACTGCGTGTGCACCGTGTCTCTGTGTGTTTCCGGTGCAGCACCCTGCTCAGCAACATGGCGTCAACAACCGACCTGTACTTCATCGTAACAAGGAAACCTGAACACCAAGGACTCTTCAATGCTGGCCACATATGCTACATATCTCAACACAAGCACAAATCACTTGTGAAAAGGTATTCCAAAAAGTTGCCCCTCTTCCTCACGGGCTCATTTTCACTTTTAGATCATGAAATAGAGTTGAGTTGCATTGAACAGCTGAGTGCAGAGAAAGCCGAGCTGCTGCAGGGCCTGCCCGAGGAAGCAGACAGGCTGAAGTGGTTCGGAGAGAGAGATGCTCTTCAAGCAGCACTAGGACTCACTGTGGGCACTGCGGTGACCGTGGAGGAAGGAGGAGAGAGGCTCAGAGGCGTCGTACGTTACATCGGAAGACTTACAGCGACATCGTATTCCTCTCCTATACCAGGCACGTTCTTTGGCATTGAACTACAGGTGGGACTCTAACAGTGGTCACGCAACAAAATCACCCTTTTTCTTTCCTGCTTTCCCTTACTGGCATATTTCCCTGCACACATCTCTGAAAACCCTGCCTGGACCCCAACACGATGGAATTGGTGTTCACAGAAATGAAGACGTATGGTTAAATGTGTGCTGCTGCTGCTGTGCTTCTTTCCCCCCCCCCCCTAGGGAGAAGACAGGGGGAAGGGGAATACCGATGGGACCTTCCAGTATAAAACCCTCTTTTCCTGTCAGAAAGATTGTGGCATTTTCGCCCCCTTCTCCAGAGTCCGGCCCGTGGTTCCCAGCTCCTTGTCGCCCTCCAACCCCGAGCTCTCTCAGACAGGCGAGCTAGCTCCAGGAGATAGAGTCACTTACTTCATCGGTGATGAATATCGGCATGGAATGGTGTTGCATGTGCAGGAAAAGGACGGAGAACCTAGTGTTCGGATCTCCACGGTAAGTAATATATCAGTTTATTAGTTTCAAATTTAAATTGTGTTTTTGAATGCAGCCATTCTGGCAAATAACACACACATGTGGCCTTATTCCTGAAATGTGACCAATTTTGTTTGCTTTTTTATATTTATTCTTGCAATTCTAAATTGAGGTTTTAAACATCATAACATGTAAGTCAATGAAACTTGCAACTATCCTGTTTGTTGCTTTACTCACATCTACACAACTGTTTCCTTTTAGCTGTCGATCCCCATGCTGTCACACTTTATACGCTCCTAATTAGATTAGTCACTTCCTTCAGTACCTAGTTAGCGGTGCATTGATAACTTGTCTTTGTTGGTATTTTCAGGACACTGATGAGAATGGAAAGCGAGGGGGCGAAGTTGATGTTCCACTACTTGTGGTTGCAAAGGGGGAGGTGCCCGCAGGTCTGAGCAACTCGATACACGATGACGTGTGAAGCTGTTTCCCACATTTGTAAGAAATCTGACTCAAATGTATTGTTTACTGCAGAGCCAGAGAGCATGGACGTTGATACGACGCCCGTGGAAAAGTACAGCGGTGGTCTGAGCGTGAGTTCCATGGTGGAGGTGGACTTGGCTAAGGGCACTTCATATGGGATCATCCGCTGGACCGGCACTCTGCCTGGTTGTCTGGAAACCATGGCTGGCCTAGAGCTGGTAAATCTAAACCATGGCAAATTATTGCTTTTCTCTTCATTGTTTTGTTCCTTTCATTTCATCGTGGATGACATTCATCTTCTGTGTGTATCCGCCTCTAGGACGACGACTACGGAGTGAGTGACGGCACGTTCAAAAGTCTGCGTCTCTTTGATTGTCCCCCAAAGAAAGCTCTGTTCGTGAAGCTTAGAACATGTCGCCCTGACTCGCGATTTGAAAGCGTGTCGGCCGATTGCAGCGAGACGATGCTGAAACCGGACAACGCAGGTCAGAACAGCACTGATGAACTCACTTCAGCAACTCCTTTTTCACAGTTTTGTTGTGTTGTTGTGTGCTGATAATCCATGTGTTCTTATCGGGGACAATTTGAAGTCAGCCAGTGACCCCTTGTGGACACGGTGGTGCTCTGAATTGTTTTTAAAGTTACGGTTAATGGATTTTAATATATAAAAAATCTTCTGGAACAATATGTCTGCTCAGATTCATTTTAGAATGTAAAAGAAGAAGAAACATTACCAATAAAGCTTCAAACACAGTGAGGGGCCCCAGCATGAAAAACCAAGAGGCAACGCTGCATCAGCAATCATCACCAGCTGCGTGTGCGTTTTGTGTAATGTTGTATGTGTTCACATACATAATGATTTAAATATCTGTTACTGTAGAGAGAGATGCAGAGCACAGTGCAGGGACGCCGGGCACTGTTCCTCCCGTCAGCACGGAGCAGGTCAGCCAGATTCTGCTTGGACGGATGAAGGGGATCCAAGGGAACTACAACTCCTGCTACATGGACGCTACCCTCTTCAGGTCAGGACGGTGCACATGGGACGGCAAATAGTGTGCATTTTTTATTGCACTTCATAAGAAGTTCAGCTGGTTGTATCCTATTTATTCTACAAATCACATGTACTTTACATTATTATAGACCATTATCCAAGTCGCATCAGTATGTTTTGAGTTGCTGACAATATTTTTGGGGAAAGTTGTATCATAGTCGGTGGTAACGCAGTTGCAAGCAGGGGTTATTTTAGTGTACTTTTTATAGCATTCTAAAAAGGAATAGAAACTTAAAAGGAAACTAAATTAAAGACTTATTTTTCTGCTTTCTTAACTCTTTTTTGTTTTTCTCTGTGCCTTCAGCTTGTTTTCCTGCTCCTCTGCGTTGGATGCCATGCTGTTTAAATTAACAGAACCTCAAGATGCCCCGATTCAGAGCACACTGCTCCACGACATTGTTAATCCCCTCCGCAAGTGGGTGCCGTTAAGCATTTTGCGGAACCTTTTTCTTTTTTTTTGTGGTACTTAAATAATGCATGAATACTCTCCGCATGCGTTTTCTTTGCAGCAAGGGCTTTGTGGAAGGGCGGCACATCATGAAGCTCCGGCAGCAGATACAGGAACACGGCTACAGTAAATCCTTCACCACAGATGAGAAGGGTCCGTTACATCCGCAAGCTTTATTACGAAACGGCTGATTTGTTGTTCGGTTTGAAGTGACCGTTGATGTGGCTTTTTGTCTCTCAGATCCGGAGGAGTTTCTTACTGTCATCATGCACCACATACTTGCACTGGATCCTCTACTCCAACTGTACAGTTCCACCACAGCTAAAATACCCCCCCCTACACTGCTTGAATACAACAAATCTTGCGAAGGACTTTCTTGAATTCATGCCTCGCATTCCTCTCCCTCTCTCCCGTTTTTAGCTCAGCGGCTGGTAAAGTGCAGGAGAGTTACTGCTATCAGATCTTCTTAGAGCAGAACCACAGCCTGGTGCTGCCGACGGTCCAGCAGCTGCTGGAGCACTCCTTCCACACCGCAGGACTCAAGCTGGCAGAGGTGAGATCACGCTGTCACTCTATTACATTTACACAACAAGTAATAGTGAAATAACCAATTAATGAACTATTTGTTTTAGTAGCAACGTATTCCTAGATCTAACGGCTGATCCTGAGGAAATGTATTTATCTGATGCTTTCCTTTGATTCTCCAGTAGATGTCTCCGTTGTTCTGGTGTTTTCTGTCTCCACGGTGTGTGATCTTCTTTTATTTCATTGTGTCATAATTGCAGGTGCCACCGTGCCTCATCCTCCAGATGCCTCGCTTTGGGAAGGAATTCAAGATGTTCGACAAGATCATTCCCTCTCTGGAGCTGGACATCACCGACCTCCTCTCTGAAGGTACCGTTAAAACACGTACACACGCATGCAACACACTTGGACTTACATGGTCTAAAAGCAAATGTTCACATAGTGAACACAACGTGTGTGTGTGTGTGTGTGTGTGTGTGTGTGTGCGTGCGTGTGCGTTTCAGGTCCTCAGCAGTGCATGCTGTGTGGAGACTTGGCCCAGACCGAGTGCACCGACTGTTTTAAAGATCCCATATTCAGCCAGACGGGATTCAAAATCTTCTGCAGGACGTGTTCATCTCAGGTGCGGTTTGTATCATTGTCCGTATGCCGTGTGAAACCACTTCACCAGCTGTGTGAAACAGAAAAAATGGCTGAATTCTTTGTGAATTTGTTTGTATGGCTCAATGTGTTTGTGCAGAAAGTGTTTCCCACCGAGCAGAACGTGCTTCTTACAGGTTGTTTTTTTGTCCTATGTGAAAGCACCAGAGCAGATGCTGACTGTTTCATGTTTGCCACTGAGGGGGGGGAGTGGGAATAGTGGAGACTTTGCATCACATGTCCTCTATAGATATATTGCTGGGTTAAGTATGTAGGACTGAAACTCTGGCAATTGACAGAAAAATGTATCAACAACGATTTTGACAATCGGTTAGCTGTCTAATGAATTTATTAAGTAAAAATACCAAACGCGTCTTTAATTTATTATGAAAATAACCATTAGATGCAGCCCTGACAGTTTTTTTTTTTTTTTTTTTTCTTTTTTTTTTTCTTCAGGTTCACTCTCATCCTCAACGCCAGTCCCATCAACCGGTTGCTCTGGACATCCCCAAGGGTTACCTGAGTCGCAGCACGCCTCACACTCTCATCAGAGACAAGCTGGAGCTGTTCGCTGTGCTCTGCATCGAGACGAGCCACTACGTGTCCTTCATCAAGTACGGACCCGACAGCCAAGACTGGATCTTCTTTGACAGCATGGCGGACAGAGAAGGTGAGTCTGTTTTTAAAGCAGCGTCTCATCACATGCACTGTTCATTGCATGTATTCAGTGGCTCATCTGTGCGTTGTGTTCAGGAGAGAGAGACGGATTCAACATTCCAGAGGTTAAAGCCTGCCCCGAGGTCGGCATGTACCTGGAAATGTCTCCCGCGGAGCTGGCCAATCAGGTGCCTCGAGACATGAAAGGTGTGGCCAAACGCCTCTTTTGCGACGCCTACATGTACCTGTATCAGAGCACCAGCATGTGTCTCTATCGCTGAGGGGACACCGCCCCACAGCTTGTTCATTGCACAAAATGTAAATTGGGAATGAAATATATTGGTGCCTTCGCTGTTCATGTCATTTCCTTTGGTGGAGTGCTTTGTTATTCTTAAAGAAGTACACACATGAACATTTAATACTTGTGTATGTATATATCATTTTCTGCACTGGGGCAGGGAGCGGATTTTCAAGCTTGACTAATTTAAAACAATATTGTTTCATGCCTGTTATACTGTACGAAGAAAGAGTACGAACTGAAATCATTTTGCATTATAGAAATTGACAATCGCTGACATTGGAATGTGAGAGAAAAGACAAAGGTTGCACTGTAATATTAAGATTTTGTAGTTTATTGTTTCCTCTTGGTGTTTGATAATCATCTTTAAAAGTTATTCCATTTCGGTATAAAAATTGTAAATATAAGTGTTGCAGATGAAAAAATCCACCAAAGATGACAGCATAGTAATGATTTTAGAGTGGCGTGTTTTAATAAATTCAACTTAACACAATGATATTATTTTGCTCAGCAAGCTCACCATTGTGCCTTAATGCTTTCTTTCTAATCAGGGTTTAGTTGGCTGGACGAGTTACTTTATACAGTTCAGTAAAACTTGTTCACATTCCTTTTAAACATGTGAAAATTATCTCTTCTAATCCATCAAGTCCATGGATCATTTCTTCTTTTCATATTTCAGTGATCAGCCGCCTCCATCCATAAATATACTTGCCGGATTCAAACATGTAAAAGGTGAATCTCTTCTATGTTTCACTCCCATCTTGATGCGCGAGGCTCAACCTTGCATGAGCACCAGCGGTGGGCGGGGCCAGATCCAGAATCTCTCAATGAGGAGAAAAGGCAAAGATGTGTTTCTGGCTCCATTTGTTTTGTATTTGGGGGGAAAAAATCATGTTCAACAGAAATATTAATCATAGAGTCATTTTACATACTTTAAAAAGTGTCTGGAGGGGAACTTTAAAATTGCTGAATTTGTATTGATGAAGGCCCAATTTTAAGAAGGCTGACTGTATGAGGTGTCCCCCAGGGCTCACTTATTGGTCCCCTGTTCAGTTTGGACATGCTTCACTACAATATTACCATCGAATATGCTGATGACACTCCCCTTTCTACTTGTATTCTCTCCCCTGAAAAGGGAGGCCAACCAAGTCAGTGGTTGAGTGTATTAAAGACATAAATGAACTGGGATGTCTTACAGTTTCCTGCAATATGATGACAAAACGGACATTATTTTTTTATTGGTGCCTCAGCAGCAGGAAATATGTTCTCATTTATTTCTGTCTCTGGAAAGTACCTCACAGTTCCCAAACCTTTGGCTTAATTATGATCTGTGACTTTGATATCTAGAGCTTTGCAAGCAGCAGCATTATTTTCACTGACCTTTCTTACCTTTCCTCTTTCTTATTGTGTCATGTGACTTGTTGCCTTGAGTCAGAGTTGGAGAGAGGAGTGCCAGTGTTGTCAGGGTTTGTTGTGTACAGAGTAGAGAAAGCATAGATTAGTGTTCTCTAAATTAATTTCAAGTTAATTTTGACAATGTGGATACAATGTAATGTTTCAAAACAAAACTAGATTTAGACACAAAAACATGGGAAAATAGGGTCCAGGTTGAAAAATACAGACATGTTTGATACAAGGTTTCTTCAGAACAAGCTTGTTTGCAAATACATCTCCCAGTCCTTGAAAAAAACTGGGACTTTCTTTGATTACATTTTTTTAATTTAAACGTGAAAATCTAATGTCATTCCACCAATCCTCAGATCTCTGCTTTGGTTTTATATCAGTTGTAAGGGGGATAATAAAATGTTACTTCTCTCTCTTTGTGTATATCTGGCTTGTCAGATATGAGCCGGACCGTGTCATCTTACACAAGCCTTCTGGTTGTTCAATTGGTTAAATAAGAAGTGTATGCTTTTGTTTTTAATGGTCCTATCCAACCAATCATATACATTATAGATATCATATACAGTATAAAAGAAAAATATGAAAAACATAATATTTCATGAGGTTAGATCAAAAATAAATTCTCTGCTTGGGTTTACAAATGTGGCCAAAAGTGTTAGCCGATTCTCCTGATAAATTTTACGCATGTTGGGACAATTCTGCAGAACAAGATTTGCATGCCGCGTCAACGCATTAGCAATTATTAGCCAGAGTATTCAATTTAAAGTCCCGTTCTTCAAGCCTTGTTTCCTCTTGTGAAGGAGTAGGGTCATGAATGCTAATCCCAAGTATTTGTGCGTGGGAAGCCAGTGAGGGATCATGTTGCCGCACTAGCATAGGTAGCTGCACAAATCCGGGATGAAAAGCATGAATCTATTCACATACTAATGCCCTATAGTGTAACTGGCAACTCAAAACTGGGGAAATAAATTTCAGATGAAGCTCAAACTCTTCCAAGTAGTTTCTTGTGTCACCAAAGCTCATGTCCAAAGCATTTTCTTCTCCCAGGAGTGTCAAATTCATTCACCCAAATGTTTTTTCAGTGACTTATGAAGTTATTATTTCCACCTATTATTGCCAGTGCTATCCTGTTTATCTATCTCTCACTCACCTAATCAGCTCATTCAGCGCACCTGCTAGTCACACCCACCTCATCAGCTCAATCACTCTCACCTGCTCACTCTGCTGCACTCACTATTTAGACCCCAGTCTCACACACGCTCACTCACTCACTCACTGCCAGATCGTTCTCCGCATTTATGCCTGACCTTCCAGCATTCTGGGTCCTTACCACACCCGTTACAATGATCTCTACTTGAAATACAGTATTTGCCCCAGGCACATTTGCATGCAAAATCCATGCACCTTGGCATGCAATTGCACTACCTCTGTTCAGTCTTTATGGGTTTGCCTTCATTGATTCTGACTTCCCACAAACACACGTAGGCCTACATCCCACCGCTGACTTTAGTGTTTCCTTTTGAAAGCAAAGCGATGGAACATAAGACGAGACGGGAATGAACTGTTTTGCACACTTCAGAGGCACACAGTCAGATTCACAACCTTGCCGGGGTGTGAAACGTCTGTTACACTTAAGGTACAACAAACCGCTGCTTTCAAGTGTGCGCTTTGGTGTCACACCAGCCTCATCTTGATCAGTCCAGCATTTCTCGCACCGCAGCTTGACGTGATGTGAATACACAGCAAGGGTTTTTTACATTATAAAGTGTACATCTCCTCGGCCCTCACTCCGTCTGCCTCATCTCTTTTTTCAAACGGTGCCTCGGTTGATATTTGTCTTCTTTCCGGATGCTTTTGATCCTGCTGTCCACCGCGTTCCCCCTTCGCCTCGCTGTGGTCAGCTCTGTGGATGACCTCTACGCTAGTTAGGAATGCTGTGCTGTGCGCAGTGATGAGGTGGGTTCTTTTATATACCCGAGGGCACGGCTGGATACAGCAAGCGGAGCAGCCTTGTCTTAATATACTGTAATCCAACCGGCTCAGCATTTTCAAGCATATTCATCATTATGCAAAAAAAAAGTACAGATACATGTGTGTGTTTACATAGAGGGGAGAGTTGTGCTTGTCTGAGCCGCATAGTTGAACTTATGGATTTTTTTGAAAGAAGATAGTGTCTGCATAATAAAACACACACAGCTCCGAAGCAGCGTTGCTTTTCCGCGTCAGTCAACATGACATGTCGCTATGATTTTCTCTAAATGTGCAGAGAGTCTGGAGTTATGCTGGCATTGACACAGTAACACACGTATCTTGTTGTAGATTGAATATTTACATGCTAAAAGTTTGGCTGTCCCACTCATATTAACCAGTAATTACAAACAAGAAAAAAACAATATTAAAATGAGTAAAACAAAAAGAAAAGACTATGCACATATAAAGATACATAAAAGGTTGAGTCATGCAAAGGAGACTAGACAAACGTCCCCTGGCACACATTGAAAAGCTGCACTCATACAACACTAATAATACATTCGCTCCTCTGCTGCTCCCTACAAATTAGAAATACTGCTCCGTAATACATCGTGTGTCCTTGTTATCCATTTCAGATCTGAACACATTCATCCTCACTGTGTGCAGTCAGGAAGCTTCCAATAAAGGGGAACAAATGTATCACTCTTGATGGACTGGAAGTCACGGTGACGTCTTCCTGCTGTCGTCGACGCAGACTCTGACAAATCAGTCCAGATCTGAGCTGGATTTCAAAAAGGAAACTTTAAGCTTTTCAGTTACACATCTGTTTCTGTGAGCAGTAAAAGATTTAGTGGTTGATTTGCTTCGCTCGCTAAGCTGCAGAACAACTGTCTCATCCTGTCTTATCCATTTTATGGAGTGAAGGGGTCTATGTCATTGTGGTTCATGGTCTCCATCAGGCCTAATATTTCTTGGGCTCATTTAGGACTGATTGATCAAGGACCTCTTGTGGTTGCGGTGATTCATTTTTTTTGACTGTTTTGTACTGTCATTGACCGCTGACTCCTCACGCCTCTTAACCAAGTGATTAACAACTACTTCAGGAGCAAAAAGCATTTCCAGCAATCGGCTATAGGCCAAAAAAAGAAAGTCTTACAAAGTGTGACGCAGGCCACATTGTGTCCATTGTCGTGGCTCAAACACTGACATCCATAGAAAGGTTTGGTCTCATTTTGAACTTGTGCATCTGCAGATTCATTTCATAACCGATATGTTATGATCCAGTAAAGTAAGGCACGATATGAGATGAATAAATTCCCGTTTTTGGATGTTCGCCACCATTCTGACTGTAAGGGAGCCTTGAGAGACAAGGCTAACACTGGAGTTAGCGCCGCACCAATCCCTCGACAAAAAGCCATTTCGATTTTTCAAATCAATTCAAGATTATTGCAGAAAATAAACTCTGTGGCAAACACACATTCATGACTTCCGGATACAACCGCCAGAAGTAAAAAGCGAACTCATAATAATTGAATTTAATAATTTATAATAATATAAATGAACTACGCTGTACGGTCGCATGATGTCACGTCATCACCACTAAGCTAAAGGTGGAAAAGTCACAAGAGGTGTATTTACTGACTTACTTTATATTATATAGAACAAAACATAAACAAATC